TTGGCTCCTTTGTCCATTGGATCTCGAGAGCTGATGCCTTCAACGTGGTTGGCTTGGTGACCGTCATTATTGCTAACGGCGCGAGGGTAAGTTCGAATTCCGAGGGGTATTCCGAAAATCGTGGACAGAAAGCTCAAAGCACCATACCAACTAGTGATCTGTAATGTGTCTACTGAGATATTTATCGTGGGTTATGCGGATGTTTGGTCTTGACGGTGGATCGGCGTTATCTTAAGGCGCATAGGGCGCAAGGCGCAGGGCGTTTTTGACTGGACATGTCCTCACCAACTTCTGCATCGTGATTGTCAACACGTGGGTCGATGGGCGCGGTTGACGTAGATATTGTCGTAGGTGGCGTGCAGCAGAGCGGGGAGAAGATAATGTTGCAATGTTTGAGTAAACATGGATGCTACACGTTTTCGCCAGAAACAACGTGGTGGTGCGCGATGATGACTCGATCACATTCGAACGAATGACTAAATGCCAGCATAACCCAGTATTGGCATCATTCATCTCGCGGCAGATGTACTGGCGGTGTGTTTGGTGGCTCCGTCGTCTGACTGCCTGGCTAGCCTTCGCAACGACATGAATTGGTGGTTTTGTCTCCTCGACGGGATCTCCACGCAAGCTCATCGTGCTCATGTGATGTCAGGCACATATGATCTTCCAAAGCTCTCCTATGTACACAACAATTATAATCAGCTCTATGTACACCCGTAATACTGCATCTGCAAAACTTCGTAAAGACTTCACCGGACTGAGTTTCGCTGCAACTTGAATGATGACCCAACCCAACCTACATAGACTTTGTGGTATGTTAATCGAAGATGAAGTTTCTCTTTGCATTACAATCATTTCCACATATAGCATCACTACTGTTCAATTTGAATTCGTCTTGCCAATGATATTCGACAGCTTTAACGATGTAGGAGCTTGACTGGTTGTGGTCCATTTTTTGAAACACATTCTTTATCGAAGCAGTTGACAATGACGTGGTCAACTCTGGACAACAGATGACGAAGAAAAGAAAATGAATAGAAGGACGGAACCAGTTCAGATATAAGACTTCAAGTCTCTGCCTGATCAGGTATAAGTGTCGGTGCGGAAAGGAAACACCTCCTTTACAAATTGAACCACAACTTAGCCCATTTTCTAGCGAGATATAGGAGTGATGTTACAGGCCCTTAGAATTGTACCGGCAATACCGGTAAATATGATCTCGTGATCCACAAAGAAGCCAGCCGGATTTTGCGCTGAGTGTGGTTGTTAGTCCTGCGAAAGTCCGGTGTATCCGGAGTGTCGGGAACTAGGAGAAAGCCCGACCCGGAGGGTTCCAACACGAAGAGGCTCGACAAGTGGGGGTGGATTCCACCGCAGCATGAACTGCAGAGGAATATTGCTGAGGGGTTGCAGCCTGAGTCGTATTCCGCATCAACTCGATCACCCCAAGTCGTGATTACCCAATGCTTGAAAAGCAGTTTCCAGTCTGATTTCTGCTCAAACTACGTACACCGAGCCAATTGTCTGAAAGTTTCTGGTGATTCCCTCATCAAGTTCCTCGTATCAAAACGGGTGTGGGCGATCAACTCAGTACTTGTTAACAATGGGATCGATCTAGAGCCTTGCACTCGCGGACTGTTCCGACGCTTAATTCCGCCAGAACCTGGTGATTCAGGGTCAGACTGGCAGAGCACAGTCGCCAACGACAAGATCTGAATGTTTCCAGCAACAGCACTGCTGAAGTCTGGACTGGACACCGCCATTGTGGCTTTGCCGCAGTCGCCTTGGCAATATGGAGGAATTATTCCCGCAAATGAAGTGTGTCTCCATGGATGTTTGAGGCGAAAGTATCTCCCTCACCAGACTGAAAGTCTTTGGCTTAGGCAATTGACAGACTTGCCAACTAAGAGCTCATACTTTAAATAAAGTCTTTGTAATGAAATAGCCTTATTCCCCCGTATTCTCATACCGGCGGGATCCCGCAACATTGAAGGGGTAAATTGCGAGACCAATGACAGCTGCCATGACTCGACTGCCATTGTCTTGAGAGCGTTCGCTTAAGCATTTGGGGGCATCCGCCGCAAAGATCGAGAGATGCACCCGGCGCACCCGTGCTGCCCTTTTATCATTTAGGTATGTTACACCGGCGCCCGAACATACATAGTCATAGCAGAATCTCAATTAAGACGCAACCGCAGCGTTCTCTCAATGATCAAAGCGATCGTTTGAAACGGGCAGAATTGCAAGCGCAGTGGACGTTAGCTTGGCCCCCAAAGCAAGCGCAACACACACTTAAATCCAACCCAACCCAGGCGGACCGTAGCCGAGCCAAAGAAGAAAAATCGGGGAATTTTCGCCTCAATACCAAGAACTCGGGAGTGTTGAGTAAACTAAGAATCAACCTACGCAGTAAGCTTCAGGAGAACTTTCCGAGCATTTAGATTGTTTATGGGGAACCGAACGCTGTCAGCCGCCATGGGTTCGCGCTGGCAAGCCGCCCGTGTCAGAGAGTTGTGGAACCTGAGCCCCCCTGGTAGGATCTTTTGACTAACAGGCCCAACGGCGCTTAAGCGAGGGTGGCACGGTACGGGAGAGGCGATGAGGCCATCGTCAGGTCTGGACGCAACGGGGGGCTAGGCGAGGCCATCGTCATTTCAAGATGTGGGATTATGGGGGAATCGTATATTGGTATAATCTTGTTACATTCGTGACTTGAATCGCGGCTGACAACCGACCTTTGGGCTGTCTTTGCAACAATCGCAACACAATGACAGAAACACCGTGAACAAGGCACTGTATTCGCCCTTCCAGAAGTAAGCTTGATTCCATCAATCACGAGATTTCAGTCTCTCTAGCCTAGGGGATGAAACTCGACTTCTCTTTTTGGCAGATCGATGCAAGGAGGAAAACCGCATGCGGAATAGGGCACGACGGGTGAAGGGGGCGGAATACGAAAAAACAACGTGATTGGAGCGACTTGCGCGCCGTTTCATCGCAAATTACCTTCACTTTTTCGGAAACACTGGGTGCGACCCCACGGCCCCGGGGTGTTCAACACCGCCAACAGCCCAAACGACTTACACAGAGAGCCCCGTCTTCAGTCTTGGCCTCGCTCATCACCAACGAGCCCGTCATAATCCTCCGGCACTTTTGGATGAATCCTTACTAGAAGGTCTTGGCGATGGAGGCGTCTGGTTGTGTTAAAAAGATGGCGGCTCCTCGAGCAACGTCAAGAGAAAAAGACATCTCTTTGATCAGCAGGTCCTATCTCATCAACTTTTGGTATCGTCCGTCCTTTCATTGAGAAAAGCATAGTTCTTTTCTGCAGTCCATTCATTTTCGATCTCGTCCATTCTTTTCAATACTCACAAAGTACATTCACTTTCCACCAACTCACACCTATAAACCTCGTCCAAAATGGCCCGTTCCAACCAGCTTCTCCTCGCCGTCTTCCTGGCTCTCACCAGCGTCCAGGCCGCCCCCCAGCCTGCGCGCTTCGGCACCCCCGTCGTCGCCCGCGCCGCTGAGCCCGCCGAATTCTCCCCCCAGCCCTCGGCCGGCCCCGGCGGCAGCTCCTTCAAGGACTCGGCCCACTTCCGCGTGTACGGCGCCTCGGACGCCGACGCCACCACGGCCCTCGGCATGCTCGAGGGCGCCTACGAGTGCTTCGTCAACACCCTCGGCTGGCGCTCCTCCGGCCTGTCCTTCGACGACGCGACCGACGCCGGCCCCTGGTACAAGACCAACGTCTACTCCGTCAAGACGCTCGAGAGCGCCGCGGGCGTGATGCACTCCGAGCAGGCCTCCGGCGCCGCGTGGCTCGAGGTCGTCGACACCTACCTCACCATGGCCGGCGTCACCGTCCACGAGTGGGGTCACGGCCTGCACTACCACCAGAAGACCTGGGTCGACCAGGCCGCGACGGGCACCTGGTGGGAGACGGTCGCCAACTGGATCGCGGACACCTACCAGACGTCCGACCTCTGCGCCGCCGCCCGCGAGAAGCACAACCAGCCGGAGGGCCGCACCGAGTTCGAGGTCAACAAGGTCCTCGGCGACTCGTTCCAGGTCATCGTCGACGGCACCGTCGACTCGGGCAACTACTACCAGGCGTGGCCGTTCCTGACGTACCTCACCAACAACCCGGACAACATCGGCGGGCTCGGCAAGGACGCGCTGCACCAGATGATGAAGCAGTACAAGGAGGGCAGCAACGAGACGCCGCTGCACACGCTCAACCGCGTCGCGTCCAACAGCACCGCGGGCGAGATCGTCGGCGCCTACTGGGCCCGCATGGCCTACGTCGACATCGGCCACAAGCAGGCGCAGGACATCTTCCTCGCCGAGCAGTCGCGCATCAACTTCGCCAACGTCGACGGCTCCGGCTCCGAGTACAAGGTCAAGAGCGCCCGCGCGCCGCGCTACATGGGCTCCAACATCATCCCGCTCAAGGTCAGCGGCGACAAGGTCGAGGTCAAGGTCACCTCCTCGGGCGAGTACACGGCCACCCTGTCGCTCTTCAACGCGAGCACCAAGAAGGGCCGCTACGTCAAGCTCGCCAACGGCGCCGGCTCCGCGACCCTCGAGTCCGGCGAGGAGGCCAGCCTGGTGATTGCCAACACGCCCAAGGAGCCCATCCAGTACAGCGGCTTCGAGCTCGCCAACAGCGACGCGAACAAGGGCCTGGACTACTCCTTCACCCTGACCGGTGCCACCGTTGCCTAAGCGGGGAACCGGAAGGTGTATGTTTTGTACGTTTTTGAGTAAATACTTCTTTTCTCTGTATACTGTCAGCCGCTGGATGCAGGCTTGTACATATTTTCAAGATACCAAGCATTGGAACGTTGTTTCCGCAAGTTCAACATCTCTCATGTTCGTGATGCGTTCGGTGATGCTGCTTTGCCTCTTTGGTAACAGTTTGACATGGATTTGAGGGTGGTTCATGCCTTGACCTGATCGCGCTTATGGAGGGGATTGTGACCAGCAGATGCCTAGCGTCGTCATTCTTGGACTTCAGCAATAAGACTTTGAGAGCCGGCAGAGTATTCGATTGCTGAAGACAGTGCAATCGTAACCGTAGCAAGAACGACGAGAGGTTTCGGTCGAGGCATCCACCTCGCGGCCACTTGTGTCGCAGACTTCCCCAAGAACCGGGTCAGAACTCTCTGACCTAAGCTACCCTTGATGAATCCCAGAATCTTTAGTTGCAAGAACGACAGTCGAAGGAGATAGGCACAGTACATTACGATGCCTCCCACGTAGTCAAGGCTCGTCTTCTGCATCCCTGCTGTGAAAACCACAATGGGAAGGATCCGTAGCAAACTCATGCCCACAACGTTAGCAAGCATCGCCGCTCTGAAGACTACACAGGAATTCGCGTGGCGCCCATGCAGCCTCAAGAGCGCGACGGTATCGGAGAACAGCTCGGTTATCAGGCCCGCGTAGATCAGGTATATCGGCCGCCGCGGCATATTCCGCATAAGAACGAGAAGCAGAGAAGCCAGGGAAAGGACATGATGAGTGACGTATTCGGGGGAGTAGGCGAGCAGTGGCAGCTCAGAGACCCAGAGTATGCCGCGAGAAGCTAGGCAGACCTTGCCTGCTGTGGCGAAGGGCCGTTGAACGCCGAAGATATCTGATTCTCGAGGCGTATTGCCGTATGCGTACAAGCATATCGGGGCGGAGACGAGGGTAAACAGGATGCCGAGGGGAAAGACAAAGTAAGGGGCAAGTTTGGAAGATCGGTCTTTTTCGAGGGTTGCGTAGAATGAAGGGTTATAACGCCTGACGACGCAATGAAGTAGACGGTTCGCAGCTTGGTAGCCTGCTAGGCCCATGAGAATGTAGGTGAGGTCCGAGGGAGACATGCTCGGCGATGAATGACGGATAGAGAGACGGCAGATAGCCTGGGCGTGCCAGCGGGAACCGGGTCATGGGCATAGCATTCCACGGTACTTTAAAACAGGTTGGCACTTGCCCTGTGGTCTTACTCGGTAGTTCAAAGCACGCATTGGCGACTATTCTCGAGGATGTCTTGGATGTCGATTGCCCAGTCTTACCGGGAATGCGGCCGAATAGGACGCTTTGTGAAGTCTTTTCTCACGTAAGCTCGGGATGTATTATCAATACTGGGACAAGCTGACGGTGAAAATGCAGTAATGCAGGAGAGTCTGCGTTCAGTGCAGAACGGGTTGGGGGTGGTCACTTGTGAGCGTGGGGGTTCAGAAGCAGGTTGTCACAACGTGTGGCAGGTTACTCTGGTAACCATGAATTGCAGCACTTGCTCGCCATTATGTTCTGACATCGGTCTCGACTCCGCGGCTTGAATTGTCAGGCGTTGAAGGGTGGTTTGACTTGGTCTCTGGCCCTACAGCGTCGCCAGCGTCGTGTCAATCGTCCGGCCGGCCCCCGGGTGGAGCGGAGCGGTTGCGGTGACATGTCCGGAATCTCGGAGGACAAGAATTCGCCGTGACGGAAGGGCTTGCCTGGCGAATCTTGGCCGCGGGTTGGTCGGCCCATGCAATCTCGGAAGATGGGAGGATCAGCTGGACAGGGTTGATGGCGCTTGGATGTAAAGTGTGAGGAACCCTGCCGACGAGAGCATCGGGTAGGATTAACGTCTGTCATAGAGTATGAAGCTCGTGAGATCTGTTTCTGTTTTCCAGAGGGTCTGTTGCTGTAGCACGTAGCCCAGTATCTGCAACCGAAAGTTGTCATGAGCCTGCTGTGATATAAGGTAGGAAGAAAAGACAGAAAAGGAAGTGAAGGCATCCGGAGGTGTCGGGCGCCGGTGGGCAGTCTTCAGGGGGTTGTCGCCCTCGGCAGTGCGCTAATTTTATGGAGTCTTGGCGCTGCCGGTGCCCGTCGGGGGTCGCTTCTGTTTTGCCATTGGGCGAGCCCCACCAGATTGGCTCTGCGTACTGTGTGCGTTCACATCTTTTTGTCACTGTCCGTGAGCCCCCTATTTGAGGCGCTGGAAATTGAGCGTTCCATCCAAATTCCCGTCGGCCTTGGCATCGCTGGCCACTGGGCTTGCTCCATCGCAGTGGAGCAAGTACAGTGTGGACACACTTCAAGTGTTGCTGATGACAGGTACGTACCTCGGCGAAAGTTGGTGTTCCAGAACCAGAACTCAGGGAAAGCGCTGGGGAAGGTGAGTGGGAAGGTCCCTTCGTCGGGTCTTTCCTTCTGGAGAGAGCTGGAGAGTTGCACCTTCCCTCCGGATTTTCACTGAAGGGTCGTTCCTTCCTCCCATCTCCAACCTCTACAGCCAATCACATTCACTACCACTTTAATCCTCTCACTTCACCTTCACTGTCATCTCACTTCGTCTTCATTTCATCTTCCATCACCGCCAAAAGTCTTGGGATGCCCAGCCTCACGCAAGCCCGTCCCTGCCCAGGCGTCTGGGTCTGAACCCAAACGATCGTTGAATGTCGGGCGTTTTACCAGCGGCATCGCAAACGAGACCTCGCCCGCGGCAACCGGTGGCCCCGCGCCGCTCGCTGCCGTCGTGTGATCTGCCTTGGCTGTCCCGATCGCTTTGCTTGGCGCACATAAACAACACAATGCCTTGGCTTTTTCCTGCACAAGCACAAGAGGGATGGGAAAAGGGAGGGCTGCTTCCTTTCGCCTCTTCCATGTTTTTTTTTGCATTCTGCCAGCAAGGCCTCTTTTGCGCGTATTCCCAGCGACCGTATCTGCAGCAGTAAGCCTTCAGACGTCGCTTCGCTTCGTATCCGACTTTCCAGCGCCCAGTGGATGACTAAAATCAGGTCAGATGCAGGCGACAACTTAACCTTACCTTAAGGTACGGATAGTCTGGTAGTTACTTCAGTGGGCTGCGGTGCCATGCTTTGTCCGGCTCCTTCCATTGTTGCTGCTCTTCTTTGCCTTGAGCATCCGTACCTGATTCTTCCAACGGCCTTCTTACCCGAACCCGGTGTCCCCTTGGACGATCATCGCAACTCACTATCGACCTCAATTCTTTTTCTCCGTCTGAGAGTCTCGCCATCCATCTCCAACCCACTCATTCGCCCCGTCGCAAATGGCCCTGAGACGCCATCGCATCGCCAAGGCGCTGCTGAGTCTTAGCTCTCATCGACCCCTGAATCCATCTCTTGCAGCATCCACCCTTTCACCATAGGATCGTCGAGGCGAGAGCTGAACCAGTCAACACCGCAGCAGCAGCAGCAGCAGAGTTGCCCACTTCCCTTGATTGACTCCTGTCTGGACTGCCCGTGAGTCGTGACAGGCCCGGGCCCCTCACCGTCGTCGTGGCCGTAAACTCCCCGCGTATTTGCCCTGGAATGACGAGTCTTGGCAATGCTCTCCAGAGGTAGGGATGGCTGGGCTTGGTGATCCGACCTGCTGGCTGCTGGTGGTTGCCTCCTTGCCTCCTCTTCCCAGCCCAGCCGCTCTCGTCCGTCTCAAGAGCGCCCTGGGTTCGTCTGTTGTCTCTACCTGTCACCTGCACTGACTGATGTAAGGCTTTGAGGCTGAAGCTACGTATTGCCTGCGAGTGTAACTTTTAGCCCTCATCAATCTTCAACACCGTCAATTGCAGACAGATGCGGACGCCCTCACTCCCCAAGAGTCAAACCTTGTTCGCAACGTGCCGTGGCCAGACCCTATCCGTCACGGAGCACCGAAGCACCCAATCAGCCTGGTTCCCCCGTGGCAATCCATCCAGGGCAGGGCGGCTGTTCGTCTTGGGTGCACTTTGGCGAGAAAAGGCGACTCCTCTGTCCAACGTCGGCGCCGTCTCTCATTTGCTGCACAGCCCCGATGCCCAGAAGGCCAAGACCGTACCAAGAATACCAAGACGCTGGCGGCCACCAGCACAAATTCACCGCGTCATCCTGCCTGTGTGCTGCCCTGCTCGTCCTGGATCTGACCTGAGTCTGTTGTCCCGTCGTCCCTGCCTTCCCGTGGTCTGTGATCCTGTGGTCTGTGTTGTGGTGGTGTGTGTCCATGTCTGTTTTTGTGATGGGTGTGTGTATTCCTAGATGCCCCTACCTGCAGACAGACAGAGGGTATCCATTCAATGTCCTCTTTCAAGCCTTGGCAATAGAAAAAAGTCTTGGTATTTCTGCCACAACAAGAGATATACACTCCCGTGCCCCCCTTTTCCCGCGCAGCTGCCGGGCTTCTCGATGCTGTTCCTGCTTTTTCCTGTCTCCATTCCCAGTTCACCATTCACCACCAACAACAACGCCGGCGACAGTCACTCGTTCGCTGCAAAACCTCAACCAACCCGCCCCAGAAAAACACACCACCGCCGCCGACACCAATCCCGACGACGACTAATACCAACATACTGACGGCGGCTTCAATTCACGAAAATAATTCTGGCAAAGTCGGCCATGATTAATCGCTTCTCGTAACGAGTTTTTACTTTCAACGCTCGCTATTTTTCAATTCGACACGTTCGCTACCTCGACGACCCGACCAACAACCTGCAATCGCCCACCCGATCGACCGCCCCCGCCGATTCTTACCTTTTTTTTATCGTCACCACAAGACTGGGCGTCTTTTTTGACCATTTTTAACCCATACCCGACCGGCACATCGCCATGGTCACATCACTCGCTACAGCCGCCTCGGCGGCGCTCCTCCTCCTAGGAAGCCTCCCCGCCGCCAGCGCGCAAGTCTACAGCATCGACAGCAAAGGTGAGTGAAGTCTCCGTCGCATCCCCGGTGCAAACGGACTAAGACTACGCCTTCACCCAAAAAACCACCCCCACTAACACCCGGCTCAGACAACATCAAGTCCGCCGCCAAAAACCTCGCCTACGACCTGATGAAGTTCTACAAGGGCAACGAATCCGGCGAGATCCCCGGTATCCTGCCCGGCCCGCCCACCGAGCACAAGGGCGACTACTACTGGTGGGAGGGCGGCGCCATGATGGGCACCTACATCGACTACTGGAAGCTCACCGGCGACTCGACCTACAACGACCTCATCATGGAGGGCATGCTGCACCAGACCGGCCCCAACGCCGACTACATGCCCCCGAACCACACTGCCTCCCTCGGAAACGACGACCAGGGCTTCTGGGGAATGTCCGCCATGCTCGCCGCCGAGAACAAGTTCCCCAACCCGCCCGAGAACAAGCCCCAGTGGCTGGCCCTTGCCCAGGCCGTCTGGACTACCCAGGCGAGCCCCGATCGTCACGACACCACCTGCGGCGGCGGTCTGAGATGGCAGGTGCCCTTTTCCAACGCCGGATACAACTACAAGAACAGTGCGTTTCTCCTTCTTTCGCCCAATCACAAAACTTTGGGAAGACGAGTGACATGCTGACATGAGGCACAGCCATCGCAAACGGATGCTTCTTCAACATCGGCGCCCGCCTCGCCCGCTACACCAACAACGCGACCTACGCAAAGTACGCCGAGGAGACCTGGGACTGGCTCTGGAGCGTCAACTACATCGACCATGAGAGCTGGAACGTCTACGATGGAGGCCACGTCGAGCACAACTGCACAGACGTCAACAAGCAGCAGTTCTCCTACAACGCCGCCATCCTGACCCAGGGCGCCGCCTTCATGTACAACTACGTATGTCTCTCACCACCCGTCTTGCAGATTTTATACCAACAAAGAACAACACTAACACAAAACCCCAGACCAACGGCTCCGACCTCTGGAAAGGCCGCATCGAGAAGATGACCGAGTCCCTCTTCATCAACTTCTTCCCCAACAACACCGCCTACGAGCTCGCCTGCGAGGGCCGCAAGGGCCAGTGCACGCCCGACATGCTGTCCTTCAAGGGCTACGTGCACCGCTGGCTCGCCGTCGTCACGCAGGTCGCGCCCTTCATGAAGCCGACCATCGACCCGGTCCTCAAGACCTCCACCGCCGCCGCCGTCAAGCAGTGCACCGGCGGCGCCACGGGCCGCGTGTGCGGCTTCTACTGGAACGACGGCGTCTTCGTCGACCCGGCTACCGACAAGACGTCCGGCGCCGGCGAGGCCATGAACGTGCTCGCCGCCGTGTCGAGTCTGCTGATCGACGATGCCGCGCCGCCTGTGACGAACTCGACCGGTGGTATCTCGGCGGGCGACGTGAATGCGGGAAGTAACTCCAAGGACCGCATTGAGCAGGAGCCGATCACGACGGCGGACAAGGCGGGCGCGGGTATCTTGACGTTTATGGTGCTTGCGGGCGGTTTGGGCACGTGGGGATGGATGAGCTTCGTGGACTAAGGTGCCAGGGACGAATGGTCTCTCAGGGTATGACGGGGATTGTATGATTTTTATTTTGTTGGGGATTACATTATCTGGATGCGCATGGCATGGCGTTCTGGGTACACCGAGGAGAGGGTATTATCATTACTACCTCTGTTGATAACTGGACAAGACAAATTTTCTTTTTTTCAGTTGTGCTGATGTGGCCTCATGACTGACTTTGTGAAATGTACATGACTGACGGGGCATGAGTGAGATGTAATCAGCCACCGCGAACTCTACTCCGGGACCCCACGCCAATATTGGTGCTGGTGGCGCTCGCGGCGTCGGTCTGATCTAGAGTACACTGCACGGGTGGTGCTTGCTGATGATCAACTTTATCTGTGCCTAATCTTGAATCGGAAGTCTGGCGGCTAGAGGGTGGCAGGTTTATGAAGCGCAATATTCTGCCATGTCGCGGGTAGAGGGTGGGCAGAGGAAACATGCGGCTCTTCGACCGTTGGTCGGTAGATGCAGTGTCAGTCAGACTCGCTGATTGCACCTTCCTCTTCTCTTACCAAGCCACGCAAGTCTTCTCGGGGTACTCGCGATATCCCATAATGATCAATTTCCCCTTTCTACGATGATGTCGCATCCGAGGATCGTCAGGCACGGATCGTCAGAATAGTGAACTCCGGGATACATCTGATCTCATGATATCGTCAAGAAATACAACTAGTCGTTGAGATTCGTGAGTTCTAATAATTCAAGTTCTTCTCAATGTAGAAGGCTGCCGAGGGACAAGTAATAACATCATCTTGATCGAAGTATCCATTTACCTCCCGTTTTGTGTAATTGTCCGCCAATTCCGTGAGGGACTACTTGCTGATGACCCTTCTCTACCAAAGGTTCCCCTTCCTCGAATCTATGCTCAATGCTAGCTAACTCCTCAGAGTTAATAGCGAACAGTGCTGGCAGAGTTGAGCTTTTGATAATGTCGACGTCGGCCACGGCAGTTTCCCAGATGATCATAACCAGGATTATAATAGAAAGGCAGACCTGAACGGCCAGAAAGGTCAACCACTCCCAGCGGACCTTGATATAAGTTTGTTTAGTCCACGCAGTCCCCTCGACAATGGCTCCGCCATCTACCAGCAAACTGCGCAACGCAACGTCAACAGTCGAAGCTGGACATACAAAAACAAAAGAAGGCTCACAAATTTATCAAGCCGGTCTCAATGTTGCGCGCCATCCTATCGATAGCGTCCCACCAGATATCTTGCAGCTCTTGTTCCGTTGGACGGTCTTCCTCAACTCTGCCGTCATACTCGAACTTGATTTCGGCCATGGCATGCAGAAGCCTATCGCTGCCCGTGGTGATACGTTTGATTGGATCCCTGGCACTCTCGCCGGTGATTGCCTCTCGTAGCACGCCGGTGATGCGCAACCTCGAGACCCCTCCTACAATGTAATCCATGACGTTCTCGGCCGGTGAGCTCAGCTCGATGGCATCAGCATAGACCCCTCCAGTCGACCTCTGGCACTGTGTATGTGATAAGATCTGTGGCGTTTGGAGCTTGTTGTTTTCCATCTTTGCGTCGTATGTGTTGACACACCAATGCATGACTACGTCGGCTGCTCGAGGGGGTTTGCCAGCATCCCAATGGATGACAGAGTAGTTAAATATGCTAGACAGGAATATATCCGGGTTATAATCAGATATTGGCTCTCTCGACTCGACGATTACGCGCTCAGTAGCATTGACTGTCATGTTAACCCCGTTGGGAAGCGTTATTGATGTTGTGGAATCCTCATTCTTAGCTACTTTGAGCAGATCCGTGACATCTGTGGCAAAGCAAAAGTTAGATTTGTCATATGTCAAAATGTTTGTGAAAACGAGATAATCGGCAGAGAACATCGAAAAGTCGCGACATGTGCGCCTAACTTGGTGATCTAATCACTTCAGGAAGACAAATGGGTTACCGGTCATGTTGTGGCATACAGCCAGCGTGCTGAAACGAGGCCAGGTACAGTCGCTCAGTGGACAAAACGGCTGTCTGAAATCAAGGATCGTCGTTACGGGTTGAAAAATGGCTTGTGCCATAGCTCGCGACAATCGCGGTTCGAATTCATCTATTTGGAAACGGGAAGTTGGCATAGAAAATGGCAAAACCTAGACTTGATCTTACTGAGTCCATCGCCTTCTAGCCTCTCCACGTAACTACGGAGCCTCCACGCAGTAGCTTGGTCTTGGCTCGTACCTGTGATGTTTCGCTCCGGATACGAAATAGCGGACTGAGTTAAGGTCGACGTAGCGACAGCGGACACGAGTAAAATAGCTGAGAGAATGCCGACTCCCCTATGGTACTGTCAGCAAGGTACCTACAGCTACAATAAGGAGCACTCAGCGTTGTCGACAACGTAGTAGACATGCTCAACATACCATCCTTTCGTGCGAATCAACAGACTCATTGAGCCCCAAAGCCCTCTAGAAGCCGAGTCGAATAGGTCGAAATCTCTTAACTGTCGCGGCTTCTTCTTGAACCAATTCCACTTGCACTGAGAAACCCCCTCAGCTACCGGGACGGTGAACGCTGTTCTTGCCACTGTTGATATAAACGCTACAGCCGTGTTGACAGTGATGCCCGATGGCCAGTCGGGCAGCGGCTGGTCGTTGAAACCGTAGAGGAGTACAACTAGAGCACCGAGAGAGGCGATACTGAGCCAACAGCAGAAAATCTCAAGCCACCACCCATTGAATATCTTTTCTGCAGGTATTGTCCAGGGAATCTGTTTCTCTTCGAGGCGGAGACTGACAGGTCTCCAGTCCGTCTTGGGGATAGACTTCAACGAGCTAGTGTCCGATTCCTGTACGGTCTTGTCCCCCAGACGGGCCCCCTTTTCGTGCCTCCCTCGACTATTTGACAATTCCGTAGAAACGGAAACATCTTCGTCCTGGGTGTGAAGCAACGGTTCGTATGCGGTATCAATTGGATCAGCTTCCTCACTTATGGGTGAAGGTAAAGATGGTACAGGTTTTCGCCTGATTCTTCGCAGGCCGGAGTTGGAAATGGGCTGCAATTCCATGGCGATGGACCTCGAAGTGTGGTAGGTGTCTCGGATGCTCACTGAGCGACATGATGGGACAGGCTGGGCCTTTATTTCTTGCCTCTGGTTATCAGCGTGGCAACAGGACGTTTTGATTGGTGAGAAGAACGTTGGCTTCGCTTGGCCGTCGTGCAGTCTGGGATACGAGGGTGGTGATGATCCTTAGGCGTTGGGGGCCAATGGCATCGCCACAGCTGCGACAATATCTCGGCTGTCCGCCCTATCATCTCACGTTTTCAAAAGATCTCACTAATGCTATGCATGTAATGTACGATGCGACACATTGCCTAAGTGGTGATGTTAGTGGTACGTTGACCTTTTCGCAAAAGCAGCAACTGGGCCCAATGAGACAGACCCAACAATTCACCCGCTATGTGCCTCTTAGCGGTTCATGTAAACGAAGTCTCAGAATCGCTTTGCGGCAAAGAATTACTGGATTTGTCTTCACATGAGGTGCATCTGAAATGGTTCTGTCATCGGTCATTTCGTGGTCAAAAAAAGGCGAGGGGGCTGTATGGAAACGTTAGATGCCTGCTGACCACCTGCATTCAGCTGAGGGCGACCTTTGTTCCGCCTAATGCAAGGCTCCCGGGGTCAGATGCATGTTCGAGGCCATACTATTGGGCCCAGCACAGGATGAAGGAGCACTGTACTGGTGCAATATAGTTTTTGACACTCCAGTTCCGGAACCGGTCCGGCAACGCTCAAAGTTGGACTTGCCTTACTTTGAATGACGTATTCGACATATGCGCAGAGGGGGCCGTGATACCCCACGCTATTAAACCATGCAGAGCTCCCGCAAAGGCGGTACCAGTGTCAAACCACCCACTTAAGAGACTTATGGAAGTTCTTATTAAAAACTTATATAAGTCTATCCCTTTCAATGTAGGTACTATGAGAGATGCTTTGAAGTGATTAGCGCGTAGAACCAGTAGACAACCACACATGATGCACAGTCCGGGTGGCTTAGATTATGTTAGACGGCAATAATAGTCAAAAATTTAACTTATTTGCGAATTTTCTAGTTTCCTCGTATTTCCTTGCCCTCATTGGAATTCAATGAAAAATCAGTAATGAACCTTCAGCCACAGCCTCAAGCTTCGCATGCCCTGCTGTTGAGAGGTCGGCGCAGTCATGGTCTCCAGTCACAAAGATTACCCAAAAACGCCGTCATTCTTGGGCTCGAAGTCGACGTGGGGTTGATTCGCAGCGAAGGTCGGATAGTTAGCCGGATCGTTGGGAAGGATACCTTCCATGATGGGCGCTGACATGCCAAGCTGAAGGGGCACACTGTTAGCTACTGTGCGTACGACTGTGGGTAATGACAAGGGAATACTCACAGCAAAGTACCTAAGCTTGACGGCATGAATCATCGTCGCGGCCTTGGTTGTAACCTTGAAGCGAAGCACACTCCACCCCAGGGGCGGCAAGTCGTGGACTGTGACCAATCCAGGATCCTCCAGGTTGAGGGCTGATGCGATCTCCTTGTCCGCAGCAATCGCCTCCTCGATGCTGGAGAAAGGGAATTTGGCGTTGGAGCTCACACCAAGGAGCCACGCAGGGTCGGCGTGCTTGTACAACGGGATGGTATCATTCAGCTGGTTCTCGATGATGAGATCGACGACGCTACCCATGGGAATGCCGTCGATGACCGGCTTTCCAAGTGAAGCCTCTGAGCTTGAATTGAACTCGTGGAAGAGTAAGGGAGTCAGAGAAGAGCGGAAAAGCTGCCAAGGCTTCTCGTTGAGGAAGTACTCGGGCACATGGGGCTCCGTTAGAGAAGGCTGGGAGCCAGCTGCAAGGTGGAAGGTGAAGTCTGCAGATGCTGGGCGGGACTTCTTGGGCTTGGGCGGCGGCAATGCAGGGTAAGGAGGGAGGAAAAGCCCGGATGTGGTCTTGCAATGCTTCTTTGTGGAGCTGTCAGGGAGGACGCAGACATCATCCAAGGACTCCGGCTGGGGGAGTTCCATGGGTTCGCCGTAGATAGGGCGCCGGCTTGCCTGTGGAAAAGCAGTGTTAGTCTCCTATCAACCTCAGCTACTGCAGCCGGTGTGAGCTTACGGGGTATCGAAGGATTGAGTAGCCCTGGAGGTTTTGCATTTGACTTGTAGACGACAGTCGCAGCGCATAGTCGCCCGGCTTAGCGTCCAACTTGACTAGAACGGTGACACGGCCCGCGCTGGGAATGTACACGACCTTGAAAGCGTTAGGAACAGGATTACATTCTGTTCAAGAGAGGTTGAACTTACGTCCGTCTCTTCGGGAATGACAAAGCCTCCGTTGTTGGCCACGACTATCATTTTGTGGCTGTCAATAGACGCCATGACGGAGTGCTCGAAGCCAATGTTGATCAAGTTCAGCATGATGTAGGCCCGGCCTTCAGTCTCAATGACCTGCGATTGTCAGCATCCGGAAAGAAATACGACTAAACCCATCATGTATACCTCATAGTCAGCCTTGCTAGGTGTGCACGTCTCTTGCGGCAGTCCGGCAGGTTGAATGCAACCAGTTTCGTCCAGGTTGTGGCCGTTCAGCGTCTCGAAGCCCGGCTGACGGCAGTGAACACGACCCTTGCCTGGTGACGTTAGCGAGATGCTCGTACCCTCGGCTTCGCGGAATTTGAAACCCACCATTGACAATGATCGAGTCATAACAATAGAATTCGGAACCTTCAGCTCGCATGCGCAGCATCTTCCAGCCGGTATCACGGTGCTGGTGGTTCTTGATGGCCAAATGGTGAGCCTCTTTCTCGGCTTCCATGATCTTACGCAGCTCAATCTCGTCGTTGGTGATGAGGCGGTATGGCCTGGGTCGCGATGGACTTGGTGCGACATACACCATGCCGTAGAGACCCTATAGGCTTGTGAGTAAATGGATCACCTTGAAGTTCAACGAGTGGCCATACGTCAGCTGAAGCTGCCGAAGTATGTTCGGCATACCAGTTCAGGCCCCAGGAGCCGGCGGTGTCAATCAAGCTGGTGAAGTTGCCACGAGGCAAGATGGGGAACTATTGTTAGAAACGTCAGTCTTGTAAACAATTCTAAGGAATAAGGTGCGGCGAACCTGCGAAATGCCGGCGGTACCATCGTTCCAGCTACCAGTTCTGGGGAGATGTTAGACTTGGCCGTGCAGACGTATCGGCTGTTGACATCTTACCCTTTGTGTCCAATTCCAGACCTGAATTTGAGTTAGAAAACATTGAAACGGTCAATCGACACTTTGAATGTGGAAGACATACCAGTGAATTGATGACTGCGCATAGACGTCGCTCTTTACAGTCAACTCCACGAGGTCGCCCTCCTCTGCGTGCAGCGTGGGGCAGGGCGACTGGCCGTTGCACACGAACATGACTCTCCAGCGACCGCCATCTTGGTCTCATTAGCGATGTATTTTGGAAGTGTCTCAAAAAGTAGATGGCATACCTTGATTCATCCATCTAACTCCCGATTGAATGGTGTACTTGCGGGTGAGTCTGTCTGACTTGTGGGAGGATAGGCGGTTCCAGACGCCGAGCAGCGCATGCTGTGGGCTATCACCACGCCAAAACCCAGCGAGCACGAATAGACATAGTGCTGCAAGGCCAGAAACCCAGAATGCTCTGGACTTCTTGCCGCTTTCTCTCTTCAACAAACCAACTTGCGTCAGCTCAAGCTGTTCACTTTTGGACCCCATTTTCGCGTTCGATGCGAAAACAGCAACAAACAACCAAAGGCGACCCAAGAGTCGGGGAGGGCCCTCTGTTTGGGCTCTGGGTCAATAAGTAAAAGCCCGCAGGCACCGCGGCCCCCGCGGAGGGTCATGCCCCATATCCTGGCCCCCATCGTCTCTACCGAGACAGACAATGCAACTCACCGACTTACACTGACTAGTAGATCGTCGTAGACGCTAGGCCGCCGTTTTGCTTCGGACCGCAGAGCCTGCAACGTTGTAGCTTTCGGAGCGTATCACGGCCAAGGAGCATTACCCTGTTTCGCTATGAAGACCCGTTGATCATGATTCGCGTCGTGGTGGCATCGTCAGTCTCCGTTCGAAACAGACGGAATAACTGCGGCAATTGGCAGAAGTGCTCTCGCAACGTGCGTAAGGGGTCCTGGGTCTTGGGTCCGTACCCACCTCCAGGTGAGGCGAAGGTGCGTAGCAGAAAGTCTAAACGGCCGCTGAAGAAGCCTAGACAAATGACAGACGTCCTAGATTGCGGGAAAGCGGGTTGTTACCCCTGACTCGGTAAACTCTAACGGTTGCATCGGATGGTGGTAGGGATGGCCTAGATATCGGTAAATGCGCCGGTGGATGGGGGGGATTAGTGATAAATCCTGCTGTTGGGCACCGAGGGCTTTTGTTGTTTTATGAGAAAGGGCCCGGCTCAGAGATTCTCTCGTTTCTGCGGGTGTGGGACAAAGCATCATGGCTGCCTTCACTCGATGTGCGACCTTTTTTCTCCTCGCCGGCGCAAGTCTGGCGGCGCAGACGAGGAGATACAACTTCACCATCACTAACAAGTGGGACACCGGGGATGGCCATGGCAGGCCTGTCTTTGCCATCAACAATGAGACACCCGGCCCGCTCATTGTAGCGGATGAGGGAGATGAGATTGAGGTATTTCTTGACAACCAATTGGCGTTCGAGACAACTATGCACTGGTAAGTTGTTGAAGTTCTCACGGATCTTGATTTCGCAAAGGACTGTGGTTTAACACTGAGTAGGCATGGAATCTACCAAATTGACAAGCCCTGGAATGACGGAGTTCCGGGAGTGACCCAGTATTCCATTCAACCTCGCGACACCTACACGTATCGCTTCACCGTCCAGCAACAATATGGTAGCTACTTCTACCATGGCCACTTCGGACCAGCCTTCGCAGATGGCATGCGAGGTCCCATCTGGATTGCACCTGCACCATGGAGACCAAGACCGTATGAGCTCATCTCGTCGTCGCCCTCAGACATCGAGGGCATGAAGCTTGCGGAGAAGAATCCCCA